GACCCCAAGAAATTCAACACCCTTTCTCTGCCTCTTCCTAATATGGTTATAAAAGCCCCATTGGTGTCACGGGTGTTTCATTATTTCATTTAGCAAAATACATATAACATAACCTTGGACAGGTTAAGTGTACAATTCAGTGTCATTTAAGTACATGCACAACGTATGTGAATATCATTATCCATTTCCAAAACGTTTCCTTCATCCCAGACAGAAACTGTAGAAATCCACTGAGTAACTCCTCCGTCTTAGCCCCTGGCCACCTGTAATCCACATACTTCCTGCCTCTAGGGGCTTACCTATGCTGGCTGTAGTTCACAGACGTGGAACTGTACAATACCTGACCGTCTGTGGCTGGCTGAAGTCCTCCCTCACCATGGTGTCTTCCAGGTACATCCCCCTCAGCCTGATCGGCACTTCACCACTTTTTGTGGCTCAGGAAGGTTTCCTCGCACACATGCACCGCACTGTTTATCCCTTCTTCCTTCAGTGGACGCGGGCTGTTTCCGTCTCCGGCCATCACGAATGGTGCTACACTAACGTACAAGAGTCTGTCTGAATGCTTCCCTCGTCTTTCGGGGATGCACCTGGCAATGGTCATTAGGTCACTTGATACCCAGCTTTTGGAGGACCTACCAAGCCGCCCTCCATGGTCACGGAACCACCTTGCATTTCCATCAGCAATGTGCAAGGGCTTCAGTTTTCTTCTTTTTCTAACAGTATTTTCTTCATTCTGGACTGGAGCCTCCTTTTTTTTTTTTTTTTTTTTTGTACCAGGAATTGAACTCAGGTCCTTGCACTTGCCAGGCAGGCACTGTGCCGCTGAGCTATAACCCCAGCTGCCCTCATACCATTCTTACAAGCTTGCTTAAGCTATTCTTTTCTTAGTCCTAATGATGTTTTAAAAATTTTTATTTTAAAGATTAAAAAAATAAAAATAACAGTTTCAAAACAGGTTAGTAGGAGTTACAATAATTAATACATTGCGTATTGTCTTCATAGTTGTTATTCAGAGAGTCCTAATGATTTTTAAAATTTCAGAATTCAGCACACTTTTCCCAAGCTCTACCATGGCATGCTGTGCTACAGAGTATGGAGTTTTGCCTCCCGCTGGTCTCTTTAAGAGAATAAACTTTAAGCCAGATATGAAGATGCACGCTTATAACCCTGCAGTCTGGGAGGCTGAGGCAGGAGGACTAAAAGTTTGAGGCCAGCCTGGGTAACTTAGTAAGAACCTCAAAAAAAAAAGGGGGGGGGTGCTGAGAATGTAGCTCAGTGCAAGAGGCCCTGGGATCAATCCCCAATATAATGAGAGGGGAAAAGCGGGGGAAGGAAAGGTACTGGACTGGAATTCTACCACCCTCTTTCCCACTGTGTGCTCTGTAAACTGGAATAATGAGTGCTTATTAACTGGGATAATTAGTTTCCAGTAGTTGCAATAAAAAAAATTACCACATAGTGGCTTAAAACAACACAGAATTTTTAATTTCTATTTTTTTTTCTAATTTTTTTTTTTTTTTTTTCTCCGGTACCGGGAACCGAACTCACGACCTTGTGCTTGCCAGGCAGGCGCTTTTGCCACTGAGCTAAATCCCCAGCCCCCTAGAATTTTTAATTTCTAATTCCAGAGGTCAAAGAGGGCTGGTGTCTGCCAGAAGCTCTGGGAGCATCGGTTCCCCAGCATCACCAGCTAGCAGAGGCTGCCTGCATGCCCTGCCTTGTGGGCCCATCTCCATTTTCAGAGAGGCCCAAGAAGTCTCATCCTACTTCACACAACACTGGTAAACCACTTTCAAGGACTCTGGTCACATGGGGCTCATAATCTCCCATTTAAAGCCTACTAGAAACATGGTCACAATGCCTTCCTCCTAAGATTGTTCCAAGGACTGTCTGGGTTTCTATGTTCTTCCCGTTCCTTGAGATTTAGGCTTGAAGACAGAAGCTGGTGTGTGAGGCACCTCCACCTACGTATTCAGCAAACACCCACTGAGTTTTGAGTCAATGAGACCAAGCCTATGAAGTACTTCAGGCCTGCCACGCAGTGAGCCAACGGGATTCATCATCCTCTGGCCATCTTCACAATCTCTTTTGGTAATCAGGTCCTAGCCAGAACTTCCTGGGATCTGTGTCCTCAAAACCCAAGGACGCACCGCTTTTGTTTCCAGCCATTAGTCCACTGTGACTCCCCAAGGCTCCAGAGTGTCATCTCCTTCGGCTTCCCCTACTGCTAGGGGCGGAACCCTGGAAGGGCCAGCTGAGAGCTCACTGTGCGCTGGGGTCGTGACAGAAGCTGAGGCCCATCACAATCCGGCCAGTGATCTGTGTCGGGGAACTGTCCTCCTCAGCCTCCCCCTGGCCCACTGCCTGTAGCAGACTCCCAGGTGCCTTCAGCTTGGTTCCGCTGCACTTGATCCACATACAAAGCCCTCTGAGGTCCGTGGCAGCCTCTCACTCTGCTCACACAGACAAGTGAATGTGTTTTTCACTGACAGTGACTGTACAACCGTACGCTTCCATCACAGGTGTCCACGTCCACCTCACAGGTGAGCGTGGCTTCCACTAAGGTCACAGGGGAAGCAATTCTTTAGGGTGGACACGGAGCCACCTGAGGCCTGCAGCTACTTCCTCAGCAGCTACTTTGATATTACCGATTGTGAGTTCAACTTAGGAGTTTTTATTTTGCTTTTTCAATGCTACAAGTACTGTCTCCCATGGTATCAGGTTTTCAACTTTAGGCAATCCCTCTGTCACCTCCTATCTCAAAATGGTACTTGAAACTCTCAGTTGGGTCAGACAGTCGCACAACAAGCTCCCCGCTCATCTCCTGAGCTGCTCTCTGGTCCTCATGTGGACGAGGGTCACAAGTCCTCCTCAGTGTGGCGGTCTCTTTCACAGGGCAGTACACCTGGGGATGAAGGAGCCTCAGTCACGGATTTCCCTGCATGCTGAGAGGCTGGGCTGTGTTAGCCGGAAGTCCTAGGCGGGGTGGGGGCACTGGAGACCCCAGCTGTCAGTCAGGTCTCTCCCACCCACCACGCTGTGACTGGAACTCACCCGGACGGCCCGGCCTCCTCGGCTGGGAGCCTCCACAGTGCAGCCTGTGACCGCGGGGGAAACCTTGTGCCTTCCTTGCAGAAAGGCTGGGTCACATCCTCCCATTCATCAGCGCCGACCACAATTTCCTCCTGTCGCCTCCGAAACTCTATTTTCTTCCTGGCTTCCTCCTGGGCGCTCTTTCACATGAGCACAATCCAGCCTTGCTAGTGAACGCAGGGAAGGTAAGGCCCTTTCGTGTTCCCTTTGCACAGGGAGACCGGCTCTCGCCTGGGCAGGGACGGCCCGCCGGCAACCTGTGGCCCTTCCATCTCTCCTTCCGCCCACAGATGTGCAGATCAGCAGAGTCTCCTACTCCCCTCCAAATTCTCAACAACCCTGCCAACCACTGTGCTTTCTCCAGAGTGTTCACGCTGTCCCTGGGTTTAGGGTGTGCGGGGAGGCAGCTCTGCGGTATGCTCTGGAAACCCCGCTAATCCAGCGCTTTCCTGAACTACGTCCTCCCCTTACCTGACCACGCCAGGGAGTTATCTGACTCCGTGTCCTGAACAGCCAGCAGCAAGAGACAGCGATATGACTAACTTGGTGCATTTCTTTGGCTTTGTCATGGTATTTAGGAATTCAAGCTTTTCCAAGTTTATGTTATGGTTAACGAGATTATGGGGAAAAAAAACACAAATGTAAATAAAAGATAATTATACTAAAATAGCATAAAAGCCTCAAAAGGAAAAGGTGGGGCTAAATGAATAAAGCACAATAATTCTAAGTGACAGCGTAAGAAAGAGATTTAGAGCATTCCAGTTAACAAGGAACGGCTGGATAAATTTTAACTAAATGCTCCATACTTAAAATATGAATGGATACCATGTAAAAATTATTTGAAGAACTCAATTTGCTATTCTGCAACCACTGCAATTGTTATGAAAGTACATTCCCTATTCCTAATTAGGGATACACACTAAGAATGTGAACCTTTAAAAAATCATAAAGACTAGTATCATTACACAGGTTGTAAAGTGTATTTTCTGCCATCAAGTGTCAGGAATTCTGGGCCTGAATGAGTCTAAAAACCTTGAGCGATTTTCCTTTTGTAAAGAGTAGCTCACGTTCGGGGGCCCAGGCGCTCCACTGGAAACCAGGAGACGTAACAAGACGACCTTAGTGGCAGGGCTGTGCTCAAGAGGGTGGCGTCTCTCACTGCCCATCCCAGGCTGCCAAGCATTGCGGAGCTGTGCTCCCCGCCCGCTGCCACAGCGTGCTGGCACAGCGATTCCAGCCCATCTATGCACGGCTTTTTAATATCAAGATCTTACACATTTCAACCGCAATCGTTTTTATTTACTAGCACCTCTCAAAACAACACACCTCCATCAGCTGTCGGCAGGCCCAGGAATCTGAGCCAGCGCCAAGGAGGAACCCGCTGGCGAAGTCCCGGTTCTGTTCTCCTAACGAGAGCCATCAGAGCCAGAGCCGAGTCCACGCTTGGGCACAGCTCCGCAGGGTGTTTATTAACCAGTGCCCGCAGCGGTGGTGAGGAATAAAAACAAAACCAAGACAGCAGAAAAACAACTATTTTTCTGTTCAAAGTTTCCTATAAAGACACTATTTGTATGCTACCCCAAATTCAGTTCTTTCCTGGCCTCTGTCTCTCATTTAGGCCTTAGGGAGCACCGTTCTCTAGCTCCCTCTTGGAGATTCCGAAGGAAATGGGAGCTGGCTACACAATGTCCTCCAGGCCAGGGATGGCGAACCTTTGAGAGCTTTCAATGATACAAACAGCCTGCTGCACCACATGTGTCAGAGGTTCGCCACTGCTGCTCTATGTCATAAAATATGGGCTACTCTTGCTCAGCTCTGGCTGTGAAACACCCCCTCAGTCCTGCCCTGTCCCCTGTGTTCTGCCCGCCAGCCCTGGGCAGGCAGCAGTGTGTGTGCTTGTGCAGTACCTGCCGTTCCTGGTGTCATGCTGCCGCATGTTCTTGATAAAATGAATCTTCTTAAAATTCTTTGGTCTGGGCGAACCTGAGAGAGTTCGACATCTGAAAAATAAAGTCATTTCAAAAAGTCAGTTGCCTGCTGGACAGCTGAGCCATCTCCACACAAAGACAGGAAGGAAAGAGCAGACAAATGCTTGGAGTCAACCCACGGCATGCAGGAGCTGCAGGAATAATAAAGACAATGCGGCTGGCAGCAAGGAAGCTTTAAAAAACCCAGTGACAGACAACTTCCTCGATAACACTGATAATAATTTATACGATGCTCTGAAAATCCAGCTAATGAAAACGATTGTCCAACTTACAATAACTTAACCTATCCCACTTCCAAAGACATTATTCTTCATTGTCATACTGAAAAGAATCCTCTTGAATCAACACAGGCAAAGGGAATAGAAAGTTGTAAATTCAAAGGATCTGGGACTGGGGAGATAACATGGAAAATTCAGTTTAAAAACAAACTTGAACCATTTTTCTTCCAGAGCAGGATTTGGGCCTGAATTAGCTGGCCAGTTGCAACTTCCAATCTGACTACACTTGGGAAGTCACCACTTAAATATGAGTGGGAATGGGAGATACAGTTAGTGGATATTTTTTGTTTTGTTTGTATGTATGCATGTATGTTTTTTTTTTTGTTTTTTTTTTGAGTCAAGTTCTTGCTATATGGTCCAGGTGGGCCTTAAACTCATTATGTAGCTCAGCCTAGACTTGAACTTATGGTGATCCTCCTGTGTGCCACCACACCTGGCTGCTTAAAGACAAATTTTGTTTATTTATTTATTTTTTTGGTTTTTTTTTTCCAGTACCAGGAATCAAACTCAAGACAAATTTTAAAAGTGATATGCCCAAGTGACTTAGATTCAAAACATTCTGTTTTTTCTTCTTGGAATGTAACATTTGCTTGTGTTGTAAACTTTGAAAATGCCAAAGGCCACATAGATCTTTTTAAAAATTTTTAAATTTTTTTATTTTAAAAAATAAAAGAAGGAAAACATGTTAACAGACATCCATTTACAAAATAGCATAAGAACAATACAAACAAAACAGAGTTACAAAGTTGTAGGAAATTAACAATGGTTGTTGTATTATGTATTGATATCTTCAAAGTGGTTTCTCAGGAAAACAAACAGACACACAAGATTGATCAAACAAGTAATCATTAACTGTTTCTTTCTGTAGAGCAATAGAAGACAGCAGTACAACTATGTTAGCTATCCTGTATATACGTACTTACATAATTTCCTCTTCTTTTCCCTTCTTGTTTCCCACACCTTAGTTGCCCTTTACTTTTGAGCATTTTCCTTTCATAAAAATTTTTAAACTTTGAGAGAGGGTTTTGCTAATTCACTAAGTTGCCTAGGCTAGACCTGAACTTGTAATCCTCCTGTCTCAGCCTTCCTGAGTGTTGGGATTAAGTTACCTAGCAAATTTTAAGTTATAAAACTACAACAGCATCACCACTACCAAAACAAAAACCCAATAAACAAGAGTCTGCAGTCTGGTCTTTTCTTGACAAATGGAGCTGTGACTTTGTGTTTTTGGTTTTTGCTACCAAAAAAAACGAACAACAGCAAAAAAACCTTTCTCACCACTGGACCCCAAAGTCGGCTCCTCATGCTTCAGAGAGTGAGTTCCAGAGAAGTATACCCAGCTTCCCAAACCTACACTCAGGACTGGGCTTGGACGTCACTGAACATTCGAATTAAGGGGCTTCGGGCAAAGGGCGACCACATGGCCTGGGAGGCAGAGTCACTGGAAGGTTGTGGGCCAGGTGGGCAGGACAAGGGCCAGGTTCAGGCCACGTGGCAGCCCCAGTCTTGCTCTTGGGGCTGCGGCAGGGGGCATCCAGTGCGGTGCAGCCGGCCCAGCCTTCTAGTAAGAGCCAGTCTTTCGGGAACCCTTCCCCCCATAGGCACCCATAGATACTCTTTTCTTCCTTAAGAAACAGCAGCTTAAAGTGCAACTACTTGGATAAATGCCACTGAGCTGAACGCATATAGCCCCAAGCTAGCAGACATTTCCCAGCTTTCACTGGGAAAAGGTCTTCCATGGGCCCTGGGTCTAGAGCAGGAAAACCATAACCGAGACCAAGTCATCCTGGCCTCCCCAGTGAGCTCCCTAGCACCCAGGGCCAAGGCCATTCGACGGTCCCCACTGTGACGTTGTCAGTATTTCCCACCCCTCTCTGCTGCTAAGAGAGCTAAATGCTTACCTACAAGCTTCATAAACTATCAAGTGACACATCCAAACACGTTCTTGCCAGGCATGGTGGCTCACGCCTGTAATGCCTCCCCAGCACTCTGGGAGGCTGAGGCAGGAGGATCGTTGTGAGTTCGAGACTAGCCTGGGCTACAAAGTGAGCTCAAGGCCAGCCTGAACTGCATACTGAGACCCCGTCTCAAAAAGACAAAACAATAAAACAAAGCAACAACAAAAAACACGTTCTTGTACACATGCACGCACATATAAACATGCAAACACACATTTCCAGCATTGCTGCTGTTAACGGACTATTAGCTACAAAGGATGCCTGTTTGGCTCCTATTTGCCTTCATGTTCTCAAAGCCCAGCCCTTGTTACAGGTGCTGTAATCATGGCTTAAACAAAGATCCTTTTCAAGGCCGGAGAACGCAGCGGAAAGCCCAGCACACACTTCCTGAGGGCTCCGGGCAGCACACGCACAGGGGACAGGTGCCCTGTAACCCCCGCACCACTCCAGGCTTCCAAACCCAGATTCGACCAGGCGGGGGCTCAAGGGGACAGAGCCTCACTCTCTTCTTGGGGGTGCTCCCCGGAAGCAGCACCAGAGTCCCAGCCTGTTCCCACTCTGCCTCCAGAAAGACTGCCTGTATCTATAGGCCATGCTGGAGCCCTGCATGGAGGAAGTCCTGAAAACATGGGTTGCTTTGAAAAGAGAACCTGGGAAAGCGTAGGGAAAGATGCCGCCAGTGGCTTCTGGATAGGACTGGGAGATTGGGTGTCCTCACACCCTGACCTCAGTGCCCCCAACACCAGCTTCCTGCCCCAGCCAAGGGCTTGCCAAGGGCCATGCCGCCGGCCACCTGCCACCTCAGCAAACTCTGCTACTTCCTCCTACCGCCTCTGCCAAGTGGCTACCAATGCCAGCCTGGAAGAAAACCAACTTCTGGCTGCTCCCTGCCTCCCGTGCTGCACAAAGATGGGCTCCCAATTCCTCAGCCCTCCACGGGAACTGGATTCAGCACAAGGGCCACAAGTGCTTTCTGTGCCAGCTGGGCAGGCGGCGGTGGCGGCGGCCACCTATGCCCACATCCCTCGCCAGCACTGACCCTGTCTGTATTTGCAGCAAACACCTAGTAAAGATGTCCTAACCCCTTATTTGGGACACCAGGTAACTACCAGGCAGGTAGAAAACTCAGAGCCCTCTCCTTATTCAGTGCTCAGTTCCTGGAGTTGCGGGCAGTTCCAGGAAACACTAATGGTGCTTGGAAGAGAAAAGGAAGACTTCCAACAGGATAACTTCATAAAAGTCCTGCGTTTCTATTAGCTCCCAGCTCTAACCATGTATCCTACTGATACAACTCTTCAGTCTGCTAGCTGTTTGTTGTCTTGCTTTTTTAAAGCATTCAGCTAAGCCACCAGGGAACCTAAGAAACGCCTGAGGAGAACTGCTGCATTGGCAACAATTGCCAAGGAAACTGGAAGGCTGAGCCTCAGGTTGCGGCAGGTTAGGCAAAGAGCAAATCAATTTCCAAGATGCCTGCGTTAGCCTGGAAGTATCTTTTTAAAAACACACATTTTAAGTGATGCAAAATTAAATTAGGGTAGAATTGAATTAAACACTAATTTAATGAAAGATTAGCTCTTTCTTGTTAGCACTGATTACAGGATGCTCTTAATTATACAAGTTTTAATAGACGCCTTGGAGCCATTTGCTCTAGTGCTAAGCTTGAAAGCCAGTTAGGCTAATAGCCCTCCGCCCCCACAGTTCCCAAAATGCGGTGGTGTCATTTTTGGTACTTTCCACAGAGATCGGAAAGACCCTCAGCCTGCGCAGCCCTCTCGTTTTACAGACAGGAGCCCTGGGCTCGCAGAGACACAGTGAATTGCTGAAGCCACACAGCCAGGTAGCAGAGCCAGGGCAAGCACTCGGGTCCCCAGATTCCCAGGCCAAGCTCCCTTCTTCTATATCTCACTCATTTTATTTCCTAGGAACAAGTAGATGTCTAAATAAATACGAGAACTTTTTTTAAATTTAAAAAAAGTCCCACGGTGGGTGGGGAGGGGGGAGAAAAGACTTCTAAAACTGCCTTGGTTTCTGTTATTTAAAAAATGTTATATTTGCACAAAATTCATTTGAAATTCAGTGCAGTATTATTCTACAAGGAAGAGTTGGATGCAACGGCAGGGAAGGTTGATTGGCCACTTCATCTGTCAGTCTTCATCTGTCAGGGTGGGTTTGGACAGGAAGGTGCGGGTAACAGTGACCCCTCCGGGAACATAGCTCCCAGATCCTCCCCAGCCTGCTCTAAACCTCCTGGAGACACCACGACTCCTGGTTTTCCGGGCAGGAAGGCCCCGGCCTGGGATCCCCGAGGAGGCAGGAACACGTTTAAACGCTGCCCAATTGCTGAGGGTCCTTCTGCGCATGCTGCCACACCGCCCAAAAGACCATGGCTTCCGGCAGCCTCAAGAAGCATCGGGGACTTTTTAGTTCTGTTCACTGACTTCCCCACTCACAGCCTGGGTCAGAACGACCTCACCCTGAGCACTCAGGTGCCACCCCAGAACACTGCTCCTCCATGTCCACCCACCGTGGGAACCAAAGCTGGCTCCCGCCGTGACTGTCAACGCAGCCGGCCACACGGCTCCTCCTCCCATCAGGTCACAGCAGCCCGCAGGAGGACGTTCGTGCCTGGGTGAGCACCGGTCCCAAACATTCACACGCCTGTCCTGCTCCCAGGGCTCTTCCAGGCTGCGCCTATGTCCCAAGACCTCAAAAAGGGAGTGCGCACTCTCTGGTCCCGCTGTCTCTTAGGAATGAGGCGGTGACCCGATTCATGGTCACATGACACTTTCAATCAGACCCTGCCCTGTCTGGGCTCACTCTGCCCTCTCTTCTCCTGGGAGAAGGAGCCCGTTGGGGTGGCACCTCCGGGCTGCAGCGGGAAGCCAGGGACTTGCGAGTCCTGACCAGCAAGTGGCCGAGGCTCATCGAGAGTGGACGCAGGTTCAAGGCAGAGCTGCGGCAAGTCCACAGGTGCTGCAGCCTCCTGCAGGCCGTCCAGGCCCCTGCTGCCTGCCCCTCACTGCCATCTCTATGACGCTCTGGCATCCCAGCCTTTCCCTCCCTCGGCGCCTTCTGCAGGGCTGAGCCCCACATGCTGCCTGCCCAGATCAGGGCTTCAGGAATGCGAGGAGATGCAGTGTGCACCCTGGCTGGGGCCCTACAGATGCATGCGGACCAAAGGACAGAGCAGGGCTCGAGGTGGGGGAACTGCCAGTACCAAGACGCACAGCTCAGCAACCGCTGTCACCCAGAAAGACGCCTCGCTGGCACTATTCTAATCCCAAGGTGAAAACGGACCCCTCCCAGGCCCAGAAAGCGCTTCCGGCCACATGTACAGGCTTCCCCTGTGTCCAGCTGGGGAGTGACGTCACAGACGCCTCGTAAGGGGTTCTGGTTGCTTCTCTTGCTAAAAGCAAAGCCCAAGACCAGGACTACTATGTGGCCACACCCACAAGAGCCCCGGGCTCTTCCTCCACCAAGCAACAACTTTCAGAGCGAGAAAGAAGCGGGTTTTCGCTCAGTGCCTAGTGCCTGCCTAGCATGCACAGAAACAGGTTGGAGCCCCAGCACTGGCAAACAAAAACAACAATAAAAATAGAAAACCACAAGACAAAAAGCCCCTGAGTTCTACTGGTCCTCAGAGCTGGGAGTACGTTCATAGTCTCCGGGAGTCAGGCAGGCATTTAAAACATTTAGATTAAGACTTAAAAACAAAAACCCATCTTGTACCACCAGGTGTTCTCACACACACACACACACACACACACACACACACACACACACACCATCAAGAGCTCACCTTCGGAGAGGGGCGTTCTCCTCAATATCTTCCAGGGTCTCCAAAGATGATCTCTGGGAGATGAGGCGACGCCTGCAGAGACAGGAAAAACCTGAGTTAAAATGGATCAGACATTTCTGTAAAATCCGAAAGGGTCTTCAAAACTAAAGCCCACTAAGATTAAAAAAAAAACACAAGATCAGACACCAGCTGTCTCTAAGGGGCATCCCGCCCTGTTTGCACCTGCACATGGACCTCAGGTCCACCTGGCCTTGCTGCCCCCTGAGCACCTGCCCTGAGGACAGAACTGTCAAAGGCTGTGATTCCCACCCCCCCCACACCCCCCGAAAGACAAAAAAGCTAAGGTGCCTCTTGCAATACCTAGTATATTGTAACTCAGGCACTATGTGAAGGTTTTCTAGACCATTAGATAAAACTTAAGTGTTTAAACATCAGGGGTTGGAACCAGGTAACTAACACATTTTAAACCATTTTAAGGAAAACCTCAAAAAACGTAAGGTTGTAATTAAATTACAGTCTCTGGAAGGCCATTACTTCAAAAGCAACAAAGAAGAAATTATTCTTTTAGGAGAACTTCTCAGACCAGTAAGAATGAATATTCAGCATTATAATTTTCAAACAATAACTTTTCTGGCTGCTAAAGAATTGCACACCACCTGCTAAAACCCTCTCTGTGCCAGGCTGAAATAAGAACAGGTCATAGTTAACTAAGAATATCTGGTACAGGAGCAAGGCTGGGTGGAGGTAACTTTAGATAAATCCACGTGAACAAAGGCCATCCACCTCATAGCAAGTGATTTGGCAAAGGGTGGTGGATGGAAAGTTTCACCAGGTCTTTACCTTAAAAAAACTGAAAATAAGAAGATAAAAGTCAATTTTCTATTATGTTTAACCAAATTTAGGTTAAAAGCAGGCAACTCTTAACTACGTACTAGACTGTCCTAAAGAATAAAGAATGAAGCAACTTTTTTGGGGGGTGGCTCCGGTGTGTACCTTTTTTTAAACAATTACCCTGAAACTTTTCGTTTCATATTTCACTTCTTATAAGACAATCGGAAAGAGTGTTTTCACAAACTGTTCAAGGACATCAATTTTCCAAGAGCTTTTCTTAGTCTTTGCCATCCGAATTCTTTCTCAATATCCCTCACTCCTCCTCCTCCTCTGACTGTGAACGGATCCCTTTCCTCAGATGCTCGCTCATCAGTGTGTGCAGCAAATGCCTCTGACACCACTGCCGCTGTCTGCAGGACACACCGCGCTCTTGCAGGACTGTGGTTTCACCCTGTGATTAACCAAAACACCGAATTGCTATTGCATGGTGCCACCGGGTGTCCAGGAGTCAGCCAGTTTCGGGGAAGGCACGGGCCTTACCAAGGAGTGAGGCAGAAGGGTCTGATTTTACAGGCAGCCAAGCCATTAGTAAACCAGGACATCCTAGGCAGCGCTGTAACTCCAGAGGCTTGGCTGACCTAGTCCCCTGGGACAGTGTCCCTCAGGTGCTGTGGTTCTGAACATCTGTACCATCAGCCAAGGTGATGTTACCATCAGCCAATCTCAGTTAATCCTGAAGCATGCTGGAAAGTAATCCCCAGCCTGTCCAGGTGCCAGGTTGGCTGGTACGGGGACCTAGGCTGGGGCTGAGGGCTGATGCCTCTTGCCTCTGCAGCTCTTGGCAGAAGGTGGCCTCATGTGCCATACGAAGAGCTGTGTAACTCCACAAGGGGCACTCCCAGATGCTACAGCTCTGGGGCCTTAGCAAGCTCCTGCTCCTTCAGCCTCAGTTTCTTCACCTATAAAATGGGAAAATGAGAGCAGCTACAAGTCAGATGTGAAGTCCTCGCCACACAGCGATTCTTAACGAGTGGGAACTGCTTATTTCTCCCTTTGGGGCTGCACTGGGACCTGCCCCCAGGTTCAACAAGAAGGACCAGGCTGACTGTCCTAGCTCCCACTCTCCTTCAGTCCCAGCCCCGGCAGAGTTGCCCCCAAATGCCCTTGCCTGAGACCTGAGCTCCTTCCACACCTATATCTGCTCTTACCCTGCCCTGTGCACTTGTCTGGGACAGTGTGTGTGGGGAAGCACTAGGCACACCGCCGGTGCACTGGCCACCTGTAACGCTAGGGCCGCCGCACCCTCCACTACTTCCTGTGTCTCCCCACAACGCAAACCAGCCATGCCACTGACATTTACTGCCAGTGTCTCTGGAGAGCACTCTCAGTTCTCAGCCCAGCTGAAGTGAGTGGGGGTGTGGGGACTGCACAGCTTGAGGCGGAGGGCACTCCTGGGGCAGCAGAGACATGGCCAGGCCTCAGGAAAGCCCAGCAGGCTCCTTCTCTCCACACCCCTGGGTCCCCAGTGGGCCGGCCAGCCTGGCCTGCCGGGGCATGGTGCTGACAGGCTTCGCTGCTGTCCTCACGGGAATCACGCTTAAGTGGAGTCTGAGGGACCTCCAAACCCCACTCAAGCCTCACCATCCTCCGAGCGGTGGCATGGGGAGATGCCAGCCAGATCCCACACGAGCAGCGGGGCCGCTGCCCAGCAGCCCCACACCGGCTGGGCCACCGTTCAGAGCCGGTGTCGCCCCAGAGAGTCAGGCCTGTTCACAGACAGACACACCCGACGCTGCCACTCTCAAAAAGCTGCATCCAGCTCTTCCCACACTGAGAAGGAAAGTGCTTTTTTGGAAAATTGCCAAATTAGGATAAACCTTTTTCTGTACAGTCAGAAGAACTTGTGTTTTTAAAGACAGCACACTGGTTGTCTTTCTCCTGAGTTGCACTAGATTCACACACGCCTTCTTACAAACTAAATGATCCCTCCCTTCCCGAAATACAATGCTGGGGAGGCGATTGTATGAGTGGATCAGTGACCTTTCGAGAGAGACTTCCCAGCACTTCTAGCAACCTTTCTGCCACTTGAGGACACAAGAAGTCGGGAGTCTCTAACCCGGAAGAGTCCCCCTGCTGTCCCAAGACCACCCTGGCCCCGATCTCAGGCTTCCAGCCTCCAGAACTTAACGAGATGTATTTCAATTGCTTAGGAGCCAGCCAGCCTATATTTGCTGAGATGGAGCAAAGGGCTCAGAAAGGACCACTAGTCACAAGGAAGCCACCACAGGGGACCGTGACAAGCAGGTGTGGGGCGGCCTTTCCCACCTACAGTAAGCGTCCACTCCTGGGTGCCAGGGCGCACTATGCAAGCTGATCACGGGGACTCAGTGGGGCTCACCCTACCCCTTACCCCTGGTCAGCTCCTTCCGGGGTACGTGGTGACGTCATCGTCCACCTTCTATGCTCGGGAAGCCCCGGGAGGCTTGGGCGGGCAGCCAACCTTAACCAGAACTTTCACCCTGCAATTTGCCTCCTCGGCTAAGCGCACTATGAAGCCACCTCTTTACTGTAGGGCACACTCCCAAGCAGAGGTCTCTGCAGATTTTAATGACTGATAAAGAATACCTAGCCTTGGACCAAAACAGCACACACCCCGCTTTATGAACCACGCAGACGTTCAGTAAGACGGGCAGGGCTCAAGGCAAAAGCACTGCACACTGACATCACCCGCTGGAAGTGTCTTCGTCTCGTCTCCAGATCCTGCCTGCACTTGGGTGCCTCACTTGTCCAACAACTACAGTCAGGACCTTCCATGCTGGCCACACGAGGAGGCCAGGGGGCCACTCTCAGTGCTCAGGTGTCAGTCGGCCTCCCGAAAGCAACAGGCTTGTTTCATAACAACATGCTTTGAATGTGTTGCACTCTGAGGAAGTCTTGACTACTGTCCATAACTGAATATACGGACAGGAACCAAATTACTCCACATGTTGTTAAGGGCTAACGGCTCATCTAGCAGGAAGTCACTGTATGCTCCAGGGAGCTGGAGCTGGGCACAGTGGTCCTGTTAAAATAAGCCCACCTACACTGAGAGCTTAGCCAGGCATGGTGGCCACGCGCCTACAATCCCCGCACTCAGGAGGTGGGGAAGAGGATTTCAAGCTTCCCTCTTTCCTTCCTTCCTTGCTTCCAAGTGCACAGGGCCAGCATTTCTAAAGTGCCCTTATGCACAAAGGGTCCGTGGCCCCACATCCGGAAACAGCGGCCGGCATCCAAAGCAGCTGCCTCCTAGCGAGCGCTCTGTCAGCGTCCTGGTCAGCAGCAGCTCTGAGCACGCCAGAGAGCAAGGGCCAAAGTGGGAACCATGCGTGCACGCGGCACTTTCGCGGGCTCTTTTGCAAGGCAGCCTGTCTCTCCTCGGCCCGGTACGGGAAGCGCCTCCCGGAGAGCGCCGAAAGGGGCCAGCCTCGGGTCCACTAGAGCAGGCTGACCGCAGCCAAGGACAAGGCGAGGCAGTGGGCACACGGGGAGTCAGATGGGCCTGTGGAAGGCGGTCTCAGGCTGGGTCTGAATCTTGAGTGTGGAAAGGGGAAGGCAGGTTGGACCAGTGCTCTGAAGCCCGGCTGCACGTCACAGTGGGGACGGAAGCGATCATACCCAGCCCCCAGGACACTGTCTCCAGCATCCTGCAAGGAGGATCTTACAGGATTTGATGACCAAAGGAAAGAGAGCTCACTGTCTGTGGTAAAGAACCAAGGCTAGGGATCGACTAGGGAGAAGCAGATGGATGAAGTCTAGAATATTCGCACTCTAGGTAAAGAATCAGATGATGAAAGGCCTGCACTGTTTTCTCTGGGAGCAAACATCAGTTTGGAGAGCAGGAACACGAAGTCTTGCTATCTATCGGCTCACAGAGAGGCAGTTTCCCAGGGGGTTCTGGTTTGCCCCCTTCCCGGCCGCGAGGCGGGCCCCCGGAGGGCACAGCTCTCTGGCACGTGCGGGAAGTGGGGAGTCCGAGACCTTGATCACGCAGGTGATGGCAAGCTGAAGTCACGATGACTTTACAGCTGCTCAATCGGTTGTTATGATGACAGAAAAACCCATAATAAAAGTGAATTGTGAGTGTAGCCTCGAGACTGCCACAAGCTTGTAATTTATATGCTTCCGTCTTTGCAGCTGTTGCCCACTGCCCAACCTCCCCTCCCCAGTAAGGCGGAACCAGGCGAGACAGTGGGCTGCTCAGG